CCCGCCACCATCTCCCCAAGGGGGATTCAGGGTGGCTAACAGGAGGCCAAGCCCAAAAATTATAATAAAGCAAAGTAAAATACATACAACACAGAATAACGCCAAATCAAGTGGAATTCCCCTGATGTACCCCTCCAACAACCACCAGGTCCAACTCCACAGAGAAGCCATTGAAATCCACAAGAAGCAGGTGGGGAATTTCAACAGAAAGGAGGAAACCATGAACATGAACATAATCTGGCTCCCAGTATTACAAAAAACTCTAAAAGCAGGGTAATTCCAGACAGGAAACAATCAGGGCCAGCTAACACCTCCCAAGAAGGAATTCCCCTAGGCAGGAAGCAGCCACACTTTGAAGCTGCAAGGCAGTTCAGTGCCAATCAAGCTGGCCAATGGCAACATTCACACCGTTGTTGGCTGTGTTCAGTGCAGGTGAACTACACCTCCCAGTATGTTCAGTTGGTCATGGGTCCCCCATTCGTGGGTGTTGCAGTGGTCTGTGGAGGTGGGGGCCAAAGCGGGAGAAGGTACTGCAAAAACCATAATCCGTGATCCATCCTCCCCCAGACCTCACCAGGATGTGAAGTGGGTCATGGGGAGGGCCTGTCTGCCAACTTTGGTCCAGTTCCAGTGGGGATTGCAGTGGTTTGTGGATGCGGGCTTATGCAGGTGAAGGTGCAACATTACATACAAACAAATCAAAGTACCCCTAACAGACGACCATCCAGCCTCTGTTTCAAAGCCTCCAGGGAAGGAGCTTCCGCTGGACTTTGAGGCAGAGAGTTCCACTGCTGAACAGATCCCCTCATGGCCAAGAAGTTCTTCCTCATCTTCGGGTGGGATCTCCTTTCTTTCCTGTCACTTGGACCCATGGCTCCACTGAGTCCTCGTCTCCAGGGCAGCAGAAGGAAGCCTCTCCCTCTTCCTTAGGACACCCACGTATTTGTGCATGTCTTCCATGCCTCCTCCTCACAACCTTCTCTTCTGTGGCTGAACAGCTCTTTTGATGCTCCTCTTCAGAGAGATGATTCCTGGTCTCCAGGCCTTTCAAGCAGAAGAGAGAGGCGCCCAGACTTCCCTCCATCTGGACACTCCTTGTGATGCAGCCCAAACCCCATTGCCTGTTTTGGCTGCTGCATCATCACCTTGTTGCCAGAAAGACTCCAAAATCCCTTTCACATGCAACTCTGCTGTGTACCCAGGCTTCACCCATCCTGTATCTGTGCAGTTCCTTTCACCACCTAAGCGGCATATCTTACATTTCCCTTGTGAGCATGAGTATAGAGAGATGGATATGGATCCCTTTCTCTCTCTGCCCTCCCTTTGGGGAGAATGACGGCAGGCGTGGCTTCCTGGTAGGCCACACCCCATGATTTTTTCCTGAAGGGAGGGGCCAGAGGCCATTCCCAGGGAGTGACCCCAATGCCCCCTGCTCCCTATTACTGTTGTTGTGGTTGTTGTTAGCAAGTGAGTGGGGCTCCAAAACACCCCCCTCCCTCAGCCCAAGGAGACTCTTCCTAAATGGCCCCCTCCCCTCTCAGGCACTCAGGCCCCATGTTATTTTCCCGCTAGGTAGTGCCATTTTGCCAGGCTCCCTTTTGATCTCCCCACTCCTCTTCAGAGTTTGTTCAGGGACTTCCCAGTTGCCCATTCTTGGTTTGCCCTGGAGGAAGACCCTCCCTTGTAGGGGGCCACCATTTGGGATTTCTTGGATTAGCTGCCCAGAAGGATACTCTTGCTGTTCCTGGGGGAACGTTAAGAGGAGTGGTGGTTCTCATGAAGCTTTAACTATTCTGGAAATTATATTGGAAACTGTTTCAAGTGTCTGTGATAACAGAAGTTATTTGTAACAACATCTAAGGAATACCGAGTAACCATAAAGCTTTATATGCGCGAGAATCCCTGAATAAATATTTCTTTGTTCAGTTTGTTATAACAAAGACTTGTGTCCAGTTACTGAAGGGAAGATTTACCTCAGAGGAGGGAAGCTGCACACCTGGAAGAAAAGGGTTCGGTTTATGCTATTAGTATATCCATTTTAAAGTGCCTCAGAAAAAAATATTTTTAAAAGTCAAGCCTAGCACCAGTATTACACGCCTCACTCACTCAAACAAACATACATAAATAATAATCTGCTCAGCTACGGCTACACTTCATGATAAATATTGAAAGCAAGGCGACATAATAACATACAGATCCCTCCTGCCAGAAGTTTTCCTTCCTCTGTCACCCTGTGTGATATTGTGGTGTCACCCCATGTTTATTGGTGGCGTCGTCTTTGCAGTCACAATCTAAGATTTGGAAATTTGGTGGTAGCTGGCATCTTATTTGGGATGCTCAGGAAGGAGATCTGGAACACATTGCGGGATGATAAGCAGCCCAGTACTCTTTGTGTCCCTCAGGATTTAGCACACTGTTTCTCAACCTTCCTAATGTCGTGACCCCTTCATACAGTTCCTCAAGTTGTGGTGACCCCCAACCAGAAAATTATTTTTGTTGCTACTTCACAACTGTATTTTTGCTACTGTTATGAGTTGTAATGTAGATATCTGATATGCATTTTCATTCACGGAACAAAATTTGGCACAAATGCCCAATACGCCCAAATTTACTTTCTTTGGCGATCCCTCATAGCTTGAGGATGATGGTCTTCTAGATATTCACTAACACCAAAAAGGAAGGGAAGGGAAGGCAGAAAAATATTAATCCTTCTCTGTCAAAAGGGTTCCTTAGACCATCAGAAATATGTGGTTTCTGATGGTCTTTGGCAACCCTCTGAAAGCCCCCTTGCATATACCCCCCCCCCCCAGGGTCCTGCCTCCTAGGTTGAGAAACACTGCCTTAAGCGGACCTGCCTGGGCACCGAGAACTTCAGGAGAGGCCCTTCCCTTGGTCCCCACTTCCATCTCAAGCTTGGGTGGTGGGAATGAGAGAGAGGGCTTTCTCGGTATCTGTCCCTCAACTCTGGAACTCCCTCCTCAAGGAAGCCCAAATGGCCCCCTCCCTATTGTCCTTACTGCAACAGACTAAAACTCTTTTTATTCAGGCAGGCTTTTAAAAAAAAGATTTTAAAGATCAATTCAGGGGGTGCTGTGGTTTTAACCTAGAGTATGTTTTAATGGTTTTTAACTGGGAATTTATAAATACTGTTTATATATATATATATTTAATGGTTGCAATTTTTTATTTTTTAAGTTGTATGCTGATGTTTTATGTTCAGCTGCTTTGATTCTCCATGAGGGGAGATAAAGCAGGCTCAAAATCAATATAATCACCATCATCATCTTTTGCTTTTTTCTTAACCAGGTAAATGAGGATTCTGTGGAGCCACCTCTTGGATGCAGTAAAGAAACCAATAATATAGGAAGAAGAAGAAATCCTCTCAAGGTGATGATCTTGCAGAATTCTTCACCCCACAGATAAGAAAGAAAGAAGGAGTCAAGAATCTGTATTGCAATTAAACACCCTGTTGATATGGCGGAGAAACCCTATACATGCTTAGCCTGTGGACAGAGCTTCAGCCACAGTTCAGGTCTATGTTCACATCAAAGGACTCACACTGGGGAGAAACCCTATCAATGCCTGGAGTGCGGACAGAGCTTCGCTCAGAGTGGAAATCTACGTACACATCAAAGGACTCACACTGGGGAGAAGCCCTACCAATGCCTGGAGTGTGGAAAGAGTTTTGCTTGGAGCAAAAACCTACGTTCACATCAAAACACTCACACTGGGGAGAAACCCTATAAATGCCTGGAGTGTGGACAGAGCTTCACTGAGAATGGAAGTCTACGTTCACATCAAAGGATTCACACTGGGGAGAAACCCTATACTTGCCTGGAATGTGGACAGAGCTTCACTGTGAATGGAAGTCTACGTAGACATCAAAGGACTCACACTGGGGAGAAACCTTTTACATGCCTGGAGTGTGGAAAGAGTTTTCCTTTGAGTAAAAACCTACGTTCACATCAAAAGACTCATACTGGAGAGAAACCCTATAAATGCCTGGAGTGTGGACAGAGCTTCACTCATAGTGGAAGTCTTCGTTCACATCAAAGGACTCATACTGGGGAGAAACCTTATACATGCCTGGAGTGTGGACAGAGCTTCGCTAAGAATTCAAGTCTACGTTCACATCAAAGGAGTCACACTGGGGAGAAACCCTATAAATGCTTGGAGTGTGGAAAGAGCTTCACTGAGAATGGAAGTCTACATAGACATCAAAGGACTCACACTGGGGTTAAACCTCATAAATGTCTGGAGTGTGGAAAGAGCTTCACTCAGAGTTCAGGTCTACGTTCACATCAAAAGATTCACACTGGGGAGAAACCCTATCAATGCCTGGAATGTGGACAGAGCTTCACTAAGAATGGAAGTCTACGTAAACATCAAAGGAGTCACACTGGGGAGAAACCTTATAAATGCCTGGAGTGTGGAAAGAGTTTCGCTTGGAGTGATAATCTACGTAGACATCAAAAGACTCACACTGGGGAGAAACCCTTTAAATGCCTGGAGTGCGGGCAGAGCTTCACTGAGAATGGAAGTCTACATTTACATCAAAGGACTCACACTGGGGAGAAACCCTGTACATGCTTAGAGTGTGGACAGAGCTTCACTCAGATTTCAACTTTACGTTCACATCAAAGGACTCACACTGGGGAGAAACCCTATGCATGCCTGGAGTGTGGAAAGAGTTTCGCTCGGAGTGGAAATCTACGTTCACATCAAAAGACTCACACTAGGGAGAAACCCTCTGAATGCCTGGAGTGTGGAAAGCGCTTATGTTTACACACGCAAAAAAATCAAACATTCAATGCCTTATGCAAATACTAACATCTCTAAAATAATACAAAACAATAACAAATGCATAACGAAAGAAAAATTAACATCAAAAAATTATGAGTAATCAAATAAACAAACTAACATAATTAACAATTAAGACATAGACCCTGAGAAAACAATTAAAATACATAAATGCCACCATGGTTCTTCTTTCTTATGTACCATAGCAACAGTGGAATACAAATAAAGTAGCCTATACATCCCTGGAGTGGGGACAAAGCTTTGCCCTGAGTGGAGATCTACATACATATCCAAGGACTGCCTAGAGTGTGGACGGAGCTTCACTGAGACCGGAAATCTACATAGACATCAAAGGATTCATACTGAGTAGAAACCCTATACATCCTGAAGAGTATGGACAGACCTTCAGCTGCAGTTCAGGTCTATGTTCACATCAATAAACCCACACTGGGGAGAAACCCTAGAAACCCATGGCGTGTGAAAAGAGCCAGACACAGTAATAAGTAAATTGTTAAATGTTGATATTGGAATTATCAAAATTTCGGATTATGCCCTGGTGTCAATTGAGATTGCTTTGAAATGTGATTATGATAAAATGAGGTGGAGATTGAATACAAAATTTTTTGAATTATAGAGATTGTGTGTAGAGTGAAATCAGAATGGCAAGTATTTGGGGGATTTAATGAAAGGGAAGTATCAAAGGGAGTGCTATGGGACACATTGAGAGCAGTGGTGAGAGGGTTAGGCATAAAAGAGACAATCTCAAAAAAAGGCAAGAAGAAAGGAAAAGGAATCTAGAAAAAGAGATAAAGGAGCTGGAAAAAGAATATGCAATAAAGAGATATACAAATTTATGTAAGGTTGAAATCTTAAAAAAGAGGAAATTGATAAAATGGAAATATATGAAGTACAAGAAGTACTTCAATATATGAAGTACAAGAAAGCGAATATATTTAAGGAGGGGATTTTTTGAATTTAGTGATAGGAATTCAAATATGTTAGCCAAATACACACACACAAAGAAAATGGAAGGTATGATGATAAAAGATAAAACTGGTAAAATATCATAGAATCCTAGAATCAAAGAGTTGGAAGGGACCTCCTGGGCCATCCAGTCCAACCCCATTCTGCTAAGAAGTAGGAATATTGCATTCAAAGCACCCCTGACAGATGGCCATCCAGCCTCTGCTTAAAAGCTTCCAAAGAAGGAGCCTCCACCACACTCCCTCTGGGGCAGAGAGTTCCACTGCTGAACGGCTCTCACAGTCAGGAAGTTCTTCCTCATGTTCAGGTGGAATCTCCTCTCTTGCAGTTTGAAGCCATTGCTCCATTGCGTCCTAGTCTCCAAGGAAGCAGAAAGGAAGCTTGCTCCCTCCTCCTCCCTGTGGCTTCCTCTCACATATTTATACATGGCTATCATATCCCCTCTCAGCCTTCTGTAGATCATATGTAGATCTATGAAAGAAAAATTGAAGGTCTTTGAAGAGTTTTTTTTTATTGAGCTATACCAAACAAAAGCTAGCTCCATAAAATCAATTAAGAAATATGTGGAGGAAAATTGGGAGAGTAGGTTGGAGGAGAAAGACAAAGAATTATTGGAACAACCCATTAAGAAGACAGAAATAGCGGACGTTATTAAGAATTTAAAAGCTGGGAAAGCTCCAGGTCTGGATGGTCTGGGGACACATTATTATAAAAGTTTTAGAGAAGTATTGATTCCAAAACTATTAGAACTGTATAACGGAATAATGAAAGGAGAGAAGATGGCAGAATCATAGAGGAAGCCATTAACAATATTAATACCAAAACCTGATAAAGATTTAACAGACCCAGGGTCATATAGGCCCATATCGTTAGTTAATCAGGATGCAAATGTTTTATCTGCTATAATAACCAACAGAATGAATAAATGTATGTACAAGTATATATAAAAAAGATCAGTGTGGGTTTGTAAAAGGAAGACAAATATCAAATCTGATAGGGAGAGTATTAAATAAAATTTGTGTAGTTCAAGAGAGAAAGATAAAAGTAGGGATATTATCATTAGATATATTTAAAGCTTTCGATTGTGTGGAATGGTGGACATTAAGGGAGATTATGAACAAATTTGGAATTGGAAGTAGAATAAAAGGATTATTAGAACAATACTATTCAAGAAATTCAGCGGTAGTAACAATAAATGGCGGGTTGACAAAAGAAATAAAAGTGACAAGGGGAACAAGACAAGGCTGCCCTCTATCACCAACTTTGTTTGCCATGGTGATAGAATTATTTGCAATGCCATTAGGAAAGATAAGAACTTAGAAGGGGTGGGAATAAAGGAAAAGCAGAAGGTGAGCTTATTTGCCGATGAACATTGTTATTTATTGAAGAGATAGTAGGTAAAATGGATAAAATAAAGGATAATTTAGAAATATTTGGGGGAACAATGGGTATTTAATTATACAAAGAAAGAAGAAAAAGACTTTATAGAACAGAGTAAAATGGGAATTACAATTAATAATTAATAAAAATACCTGGGAGTAATAATAAAAAAGGACTTAAAAGAAATAGAAGAGGTAAATGTAGTCGCATTGAGAAAAGTAGTCCAAAAAATTAATAGAGTATGAAAATATACATTTATCTTGGTTTGGAAAGATAACATTAGTAAAAATGAAAATACTTCCGAAGATAACTTTTATATTTAGAATGCTGCCACTTCAGATTACAGAAGAAGAGCTAAATCGATTGCAGTAAATGATAAATAAATATTGTAATGGTAGTAAAGGAAATAGATTAAACAAACAGTTAAGGTACAGATCACAAAAGAGAGAGGATGAGCACTCCCCAATATTAAAAAATATTATGAAGCAAGCAGGCTGAGATTGGTTATAGAAGGAATGATAAAAAAAGAGGGTGTAAATTGGCTAAGGAAGGATTCGGGAAAAGTGGAGGAAGAAATCTGGAATATATTTTTAAAAGAGTTTATGAGAAAAGGAACTAGGGAAATTAGAAACCCAATGTTGAGCAATATATTAGAATATATTAGACATGCTCCCTGCACGAGGCCTCTTCCCCCGCACGCAAGGCCAGCACCGGAGCATCCCTCTCCCGGCATGGCAGAGCCTGCAGGGAAGAGGACCCGGGAGCATGTATTATTATTATTGTTGTTGTTGTTGTTGTTGTATTGTCGAAGGCTTTCATGGCCGGAATCACTGGGTTGTTGTAGGTTTTTCTGGGCTATATGGCCATGTTCTGGAGGCATTTTTTTTCTTTTTTTTTCTCCTGACGTTTGATGCAGGCGAAACGTCAGGAGAAAAATTGCCTCCAGAACATGGCTGGAAAAACCTACAACAACCCATTATTATTATTATTATCTACATTTCTATACCGCTTTTCTCACCCCTGGGGGGACTCAAAGCGGTTAACAACATAATAAATGGCAAATTCAATGCCTCACACACACACACACATATATATAACATCTAAATCAATAACATATAACCAGATAAAAACGGTTACAACTATAAAAGCATCAAACACAGACATGAGCATGAAACATATTGTTGCAATTAACAATGTAGACCCCTTCTCTTCTCCCACTCCCCAACTCTCTCTCCATAGCATTTCAGCCCTTCTTTTTACACCCTCCCTGCTCCCCCCTCCCCCCATCCCAACAGACACAGTTATTTAGGTACAGATTGAATACAAAATGGGGAGGGTAAAAAAAAAAGTCCTGGGCCTTCTTGTGGGATGGTCAATGTGATATGAGGTCCTTGGGGCCGGTGGAGGGAGAGTCTTATCTGATGATGGTAGTAGGCTACTGATCAGTTTGGTAAAAAAAAAAATTAAAAATAGACTTTATCAGTTGTAGTGCCCTAAGTCAGGTGTGAGCTGTCACTTGCCAGTAGACTGAGGATGGGGAGGGGCACCGAAGAGAGTTGGTGTGTTGGCTGCACCTTATTATTATTATTATTATTATTATTATTATTATTATTATTATTTACAGTTTTTATATTCCGCCCTTCTCCTCACCCCGCAGGGGACTCAGGGCGGATTACAGTATACACATCTATGGCAAACATTCAATGCCAGTTTGACAGACAACAAATACAGACAATGCACAGAGGCTATTTAACTTTTTTCTGGCCGCCAGGGGAGCTGCTGCTTTCATCGTCCATCAGCGACACCGATGAAGTTCTTCCGCATTCCACATCCCAGAGTTTTCTTTATGGCCTCATAAATCAGTTAATTTAGCCTCCCACACAAGGTGGTGCCTTATTTTCCTACTTGACAGATGCAACTGTCTTTCAGGTTGCAAAGGTCGACCACAGGCTACACAATGGCTGGACACCCACTCCAACCCGGGCTGGCTTCGAACTCATGACCTTTGGGTCAGAGTGATCTTAATGCAGCTGACACTCAGCCAGCTGCGCCACAATCCCGGTGCCACTCTGGAGGAACTGTAGTCTCCTGGCCTCCTTGTCACCTCCTTCCTCCTTGCTGGCTGTTGGAGGGAGGGGTAGCGAGGTGTAGCTTCCGCCGAGGAGAGTGGGTGTGCAGGCTGCACCTTCCGTGCTCTAGCGGCCCATAGGCGTGTGCTCCCAGCCCTCTTCCCCCACGCGTTTGGCAAGGCTGGAGCACGGCGTGCATGAAGAGGATCCTGGTGCCTAGATGCAGGGAAGGCATTACCCATGGCCCTCATGCCGGCCACCTTCCTTCTCCAGGCCCTGGGTCCTTCCGGTCGCCCTCTTCCTCTGGACACAGGATTCCAGCGGAGAGTCCACTTCTCCCTTGAATGGTGGTGCCCAGAATGGGACACAGCGGGATTCCAGGTCACGTGGTCTGGCCAAGGCGGACTAGAAGAGAGCGTGGGGAGCGGGGCTTCCCTGGTCTAGGCCAGGGGTCCTCACACTTTTTAAAGGGGGGGCCAGTTCACTGTTCCTCAGACCGTTGGTGGGCCGGACTATAGGGTTTTTTTTTTAAAAAAAACTGATCAAATTCTTATGTACAATGCACATATCTTATTTTGAAGTAAAAAACCGGGAACAAACACAATATTTCAAATGAAGAACCACTTTAACTCAGTGTTATGGAATCCTGGAGCTGCAGTTTGATCTTTTGGTGGAAAAGGTGAAACAGCTCATAGAATGTCAAATCCCAGGATTCCATAGCAGTACGCCATGACAGTCAAACTGGTGTCAAACTGCATTAATTCTGTTGTATAGACGCACTCTATTTTTCAGAGTTTTAGCTGCACATCCTCGGGTGGCCTCTCTTCATATACAACAGTGGTTCTCAACCTTCCCAATGCCGTGACCCCTTCATCCAGTTCCTCATGTTGTGGTGACCCCCAACTGTAACATTATTTACATTGGTATTTCACAACTGTGATTTTGCTACTTTTATGAATTGTAATGTAAATATCTGATATGCAGGATGTATTCTCATTGTTACAAAATGAACATAAAGCATAGTGGTTAATTAATTTTTTTTTTATTTCAGTGACTTCTACCCCGCCCTTCTCACCCCCAAGGGGGACTCAGGGCGGCTTACAAAGGAAGGCACAATTCGATGCCTA